AAAATTAAATATATAGTTTAATAAAATGAAGCTTTTTCCCCCATAACACCCCAGAGAAATTTTTTCATAACTAATATGCTTGTATCCTAAATGTAACTCACAAGCTTCAAGTTGCAATGTTAATATTGCAAGTTTGCAATGTTAGTTGCAATATGTTAAAGTTGCAATATGTTAATATTAAAGTTGCAGTATGTTAATATTAAAGACAAAAAACACACTCACGGCATTAAATATAAACCATCTACTACACATCAGTGATTCTTACCACTAAGGGAATCGCATACTCCTTTGCAAATCTGATGAAAGCTATGCATATAATTTCAGGGAATTTATGGATTCCTCAAAGCCTATATATGAGTCGCTGAGGTTTTCAGAATCTCTGATTAGTGGAAAAGAATGGAGTTCAAAATTGATCCAAAAACATAAGAAAACTTAATATATGAATGAAAGAAGACTTGTAACATAAAGTCGGAAAAATGGATTATTTATTCATATAATATTTGCCCTAAGTGTCTATTCACTGAGAGAAACTGCAGTAAGTCTCTATAAGCATATGAATGCTTTAAAGAGCTAAATGCAAACAATAAAAATTATAAAATACTGTAATAAAATATAGAGAATGTACATAATCTTAGTTGGAGGAAGTCTTCTTAAGCAACACAAGAAAACTACTTGCCTAAAATGATAGATGCAATTGTTTAAAATTTTATAGCCTCTGTATAAGCAGAAATACACCATAAAGTCAAGGGACATGACAGATTTGGAGAAAAACAGATGTAAGACATATGACAGGGGCCGGCACAGTGGTGCAGTGGTTAAGTCTGCACGTCCCTACTTTGGTGGCCTGGGGTTCACGGGTTTGAATCCTGGGCACGGACTTACTCACCACAAATCAAGTCATGCTGAGGAGGTGTACCACACGGAAGAGCTATAACTCTACAACTATGATACACAACTATGTACAGGGGCTTTGGGGAGAAAAAAGAAAAAAGTTAGATTGGCAACAGATGTTAGCGCAGGGTCAATCTTCCCCCTCAAAAAAAAAAGACATACAATAGATAAAGGATTACCATTTCTAATATTTAAAAAAAAAACTAAAAATTGGTAAGATAAACTACCCAATAGACAAATAAAAATGAACTAACACGTACACGATGTCAACCTAATTAGAAGTTGAGGAAATATAAATTAACACAACATATCATTTCACAGTTTCAGACTGGCAAAAATTAAAAGCTGACAGCATTCAGTGTTTGTGAGTGTACTGCCAGTGTAGATTACAGTTACCTTTTGGAAAATAAATTCTTTGGAAAGTAACAGATTTTACAATCTGTTAAATTATAAAATAAGTATATCTTTAGTCCCAGCAATCCCACAAATAGGAGAATTTATCCTAGTGAAAAATGACACCAACACATAAGGAGTTAAATGGACAAATAAGGATGTTCCTTGTAACATTGTTTATAACACCAAGGAACAAATGAAATAGTAAAAAAACAACAAAGTGGTGGGAGGAACAAATTGAATTTCCATTACTGGTATAATGGCTTAATAATTTATGATATATGCATACTATGGAATATTATACAGCTATTAGATTAAGTCAAATTTATACGTATTCACCTGGAAAGATGTCTATGCTACTAAATGAAAAAAAAGCAAGAAGCAGAGTAACATGTATACTATGATCCCATATTGGTTTAAAAAAAAGAAAACTATATTATGTGATATTGGGTTTTTCATGAATTCCTGTTTATATACTTAATTTCCCAAGCGGTCAATGAATACAGCTGAGTTTTTAATACATCTATTACTCTATTAGAGACCTCACCATCAAAATGCTCTCAAATCAAGGTACAAACAGGCATTACCAGACAATAAAATCCTTTGGAATCTTCTACAACAGAAAAAATAAACAATAAAAACTACTTTTAAGAGCAAAAATGTTTAACAGTTTTTCTAATGCCAAAATAAAAATGCTTTTTAATGCTGTGATTTTATACTTACAGAAAACGACCACCGATTGTTTTTCCTGTAGCAGGAATAAGCTATCTATTTCAGCCGTTTCACTGGGTAATATAATTATGTTCATTATACGGATATAAACAAGGGGCAGACATTACACTAAACCAATTCCTTTGTGTCAGAAATTGGATTTTCTCAGAATGATATTCATTCTTAGCAATAAATGCAATTAAACATTGGTATCACAGTTTAAAATTTCTATTCAAACTGCTAAATCTAAGCGTAATGTCAATATGAAGTCCCAAGCAGCCTGGTATAATTAAAGGAGCACTTGATTTGGAATCACACATACCTGGGTTCCAACCCTGGCTCTACACTTCCTTTGTGGTCAAGTTATATAACCTTTGAGCCTGGTCCCACACCTGTAAAAATGGCTTTCTATGGTGGTGTTGGACGATTAAATAAGAACACTGCATATGAAAGTGCCTAGTACAGCATCTGGTTGTCACATTATGCCTTCTTCTGCCTTCCTTTCCTAAGGAACATTACTAACTGGCAACATCTATTTTAGTACTGCTTTTGATAAGACTTTCTCTTAAAACAAATCAAAAGACTGCTGATATAGTTATACATTTTATTTGCCATGTTTTCACATCTCCAGAGAATTATTAGGTCCCTCAAGTGTTTTATATTTGAGGCTCCTTTTCTTGGCTCATTTTTGAGAATTATTTACAGTAGTTTGATCCATATTTACTATTTCTGATGGAATTTAAAGGTTTCTTTCTTGTAAAAAATCACACACACCAAAAAATATGTTATTTTCTACTCATGGCTTTCTACATCTTCAGATAACTCTCTTTTTAAAATCATTTGGGTTGTGTCTATGGAAACCACTTTCAAGTATTATGAAAAAATATTAGGCAAGGAAGGAAAATCAAAAATTGAAGTCATCCTAACCCACTGTAATGTGTCTAAGAAATCCAAATAGCAATACAACAAAGAATAAGTACAAATTTTTTTTTTTTGGTGAGGAAGATCAGCCCTGAGCTAACATCCATGCCAAGCCTCCTCTTTTTGCTGAGGAAGATCGGCCCTGAGATAACATCTATTGCCAATCCTCCTTTTTTTTTCCCCCTTTTTCTCCCCAAGGCCCCAGTAGACAGTTGTATGCCATAGCTGCACATCCTTCTAGTTGCTGTATGTGGGACGCGGCCTCAGCATGGCCGGACAGGCGGTGTGTCGGTGCGCGCCCGGGATCCGAACCCGGGCCGCCAGTAGCGGAGCGCGCACACTTAACCGCTACGCCACGGGGCCGGCCCCAATAAGTACAAATTTTAATTTTAATGTAACTTGCAAATTTCTCTAAAAGGAGTCATTTTTTTTCTGTAAAGCTGGATCATGAGGTCAGAATATGTCCCTGAATGCTACTAAAAGGATCCAAACAAAAGAAAAGGCATATTGGCCAACCTTCAATATTTCAAGTGAATATTTTTTCCATCATACAAGACACATATTAATGAAATCATAGTAAATAAATTTGATATCTTTTCAAAACCTTACAAGGTAAGTTTTACCCTAAAGTTGAGGACTCGCATTATCCTCTGCACCTCTTCAACTTTAGTTGTACTTTAATTCGATTTATTTGATGCTCTTTGATACACTGCTGTTTAAAATGTCTCCAAGGCTTAGTGCAAAGTCCACCAAAACTGCAAATAGCTACTATCTGTAATATTACAATTATTTTCTGATACATTTTTCCTAAATATTAATCATCACCCACAGTAGCATCTAGCGGCTATTAATTAGTCTAAATTATCCTGCTGCTAGTATTTTATTGCTTGCTTCTCAAAAAGGATTCAAAACGATGATGCTGAGGTGCAAGTGTACGCATAAAAACACTTCACATTACTTTTCCATATTCAAATTACAGCCTCTTAAGCCGACTTTTAAGTGCCACGTACATTTTTACATCAAAATGTATTGCTGACATTCTTCTTACACTCCTTCCCTATCCCGAGCCCTTCTCAAATGCCAAAACTCCCTACTATTCTGAAAGTACCTATTATCTGAATTATCTGAGCATTCTTTTGGTCTTTCACAACTTCACACTCCAACTTTTTGTAGTTCAGACCTCTTCTCTCACTAAAGTAAGCACTGTTAACTCCTTTAGGTACTTAACCATATGGTTAACTTTTTGATGATCTTACTTTTTCTTTCTTAAACTTAAATCTCACTATAATTCCAATTCAGCGTTCCCTCCTCCTCTAAATTCACTACATCAACATTGCCGCGAAGCAACGTACATATACATCCCTCCTCTTAAGCCCCAAATATGCATCAGCTTAGCGCCACTGAAAAAATTTAAATGCCTGGATGCCTCGTTTCGGTACCTCGTTGAAGCTTTCTATTTGCCTTCCTGTCCTACCTGGGCAGCCTATTGCTCCCGTCAGTTGTGTGGTCCCTTGCTGCCCCCAGCACAAGCGTGCAACTCACTACAGTGTATTTCTTCTACTCACCATCATTCCCAGTATCTCCCTCCATTTCTGCGCATCTATCCCTTCGTGAATCTCCTCATCCCCAAAAGATTCCGTATCCAGGCGCCCAAATCTCAAATTAGACTACCCCTCACCAGACATTGCCGGGGATTTCTGTACGACTTTTAATTAAGAGAACACGCCAAGGCTGAGCGTTTCTGTCTCCTCCAGCGGTACCCGCTCCCCGCCGAGTTCGGTCTTCTCTCGCTCTCTCTCCGTGGAATGCCTACTTCGGGGCAACCCCTTTGGCTCTGGGAAGCCCAACCTTGCAACCTCTGCCCCGTAACCTCGCGAGCCCAGCACGCCACTCAAGCTTAATTCACACCATTCTGGGAGCTTGTGCTCTCGATGCCCCCAGTCCCGACTCTCTTTGCAACCTCTTTCAGCCTCCTACCCCCTAGCCAGACCCCAGGTTAGACGAACGCCCACTTGCTCGGGTTGCAATGCCTCCCTGGCCCGGCCCCTCCACGCCACTCAGCCCGGAGTGGCTCCTCTCCTCACCTAGCTTCGACCGGGACTCCTCCAGCTTCTGGATTTGGTTCTCCAAGAAGAGCATCGCCACCGCGAAGGCCACCACCGCCAGCAGCTGCAACTTGGGCGGCATCATAATCCTGAGGAGCCCCATGAAACCCGCTGCTCGGGATCAAGACATACCGCGGGGGGAGGGGAGAGGGGCCCCGGAGGCGAGGGAGACGCCGGGAGGAGCCCACCGAGCCGGGAGAGAAGCAAGAAGAGCGCGACGGCGAGAGAACCACCGCAGCGACCCCCCTTCTCGCCTCCCCAGTCCCCCGCCCCCAGGCGCCAGCACCAACGCCGCCGGTGCCCGCTTCTCCTTGGCCGACTCAGCGGCCGCCCTCTCCAAAAGCCCGCGCAGCAAGCAGCGCGAAGCGGCTGCCGGGCTCTCGCCTCCCTCTGCTGCCTCAGTCCCCGACCCCCGCGCCTGCCTGCCCGCCTCCCTCTCTTCCTTCCTTCCCTCCCTCCTTTGCTCGCGGCCGCGCGCTCCTCCGCCAGCGCTGCGGCTGCGGCTGCGCCGCCCTCGGCCCCGCCCCCACCCCTCCCCCTCCGCCACCACGCGCACGCATCCACGTACGCTGCTCGGCAACCAGAGGCTCCGCCCCCTGCTCCCGTTCAGTTGTGCTCATTGGATCGGAGAACCCCGGCGCTCCGTTCTGGGTTCGTGTTACGGTTGGTTTCCTTCGCCATAGGTGTCAACCAAAGCGGCGTTCGATTGGGTAAACTTGGAGAAGAAGGCGGGTCGAAACTGAGGAAGGCGGGGTTTCTTGGCTGCTTGAGGAAATATCGCGAATGAAGGGAAAGAGCCCGAAGAAGCACGGATTTGGGAAGTTTAGGAAACTGCCTGATATGGGTTATCGAAAGGACCTAGCGACGTTATATTTAATTCAAATGTAAAGATGTTTGATCACCTTTAAGCTTTCATATGCCCTTAGGTAATACTCGTCTCTGCAGAATAAGAGACTGGTGGCAACGGCCCCTAGCGGCCTGTTTTGGATCAGGCTCTGGAGTGGACGCCCCCAGCCGAGGGGTCCTCGGGGCTGCCAGAGACCCACGGAAGACTAAGGTAGCGATGGCCGCTGGGCCGGGTGGATGGCTTCGGCCGGCGTTTGGGCTTCGGTTGCTGTTGGCGACTGTGCTTCAAGCGGTGAGTGGAGATCACCTCCGCGGCAGCCCCAGGGCGAGTGGGAGGGATCGCGCCGAGCAAGACGGAACATTCGGTCCCGTTTGGGAGCCACACTTGAAAAGGGTGGGAGGACTGGGCTTCCTTAGGCGACATTCCTTAGGAAAGTGACGTGGCTTAATTCCTCGTTTGTTGCTTATCCTTCCCCGCCCCGGGTTTCTAGTGGTTCTTTCTCCTGACTTCAGACTATCTTGAGTACTTATCTTCTCTTGCAGAGCTCCAGCTAAAAACAGTCTGTAAATCACATGGTGAAAAAAAATGGTAATAAACCCTGGAAAGTAAAGACAGTTGTTTTTAAACGGGCAGAAATGCAAGGGACTACCGTTCCTTACGACGAGCCTCCCAAATCTTAGAGGAAAGCCCTCAAGCCTTTGGTCCAGGGTACGCTGTCTGTTGACGTCTTTCTCTCAACTGTTAGTAGTCTCTCTCATTCACTGTTAGACAGCCTTTATCTCCGTTCTCTGGCATTCACGTACCGCTGGGTGCGCTTCTGTGCCATTTGTGGTTTGAAACAACATTGTTGCAATTAAAGGAGCTACTCTATACTGAAGCATAATTTACTTTTGAAATTGGTTTTCTAAAATGATAGCCTTCATCTCGTTTAAAATCGGGCAGTGTTAACCAAGTTTTTTATTTCGTTTTTCCCCGTTAACAGAACAGGCGCGTTCTTAATCTTTGAATGGGGAAAGGCTAATTTTGACTTATTTTCCTATTCACTCAGGAACAACTTAATATTGGTTAATTCCTCCTAAAAAGTTTGCAATCCGTGTTTTGCTATGTGAAAAATAAAACTATTTTTATGAGCGCTGTGCATTTACACATTTCTTTTATCAGCTTAATTCTTAAGGTATTGTCTTTACTGAGCCTGCTGAAAAGTTTTCTCCTAGGAGACCTGGTCTAATTGATTTATTCAAGGTTTAGGGGACTTAGGGCCTATACCGAAGGCCTCTATAAACACCTCTGCTTTGCTTTCATCAAGGAGTTTGAAGATCCTGCCGGCTTTCGCAACCATACTTAAAGGTGGTACTTCAAGTCTCTAATTAGCGTTAAAATACTCTGTTATTCAAGTATTTAATGCCTTAGAAATTACTAGAAAACCTCTCTCTAAACTTTCTACTCAGGATTTTTTTTGCCAATCTCAATGTAATTTGAGTTCACCACCATGCAAAGAGAAAAACGAAGGACATTTCAAGTTACTTTCTCCTAATTTCCCTGTCTCTTTGTTTCATTATTTATGGTGTGTAACGACCCCAGAACTTAGTGGCTTAAAATAACAATGATTTCTCATAATTCCGTGGGTCTGCTGAGCGGTTCCTCTGTTGATTTCCTCTGGCATCATTTATGCAGCTGTGCTGAGCTGGTAGGTCAGATGGACAGAAAGATCCAGAATGGCTTCATTCTTAGTTGGTGCTGACTGTCAGCTAGGGCAAGTTGGTTCTCCTCTATGTGAGCTCTCCTCCTCCAGTAGACCAACTTCTTTTCATGGTAGTCTTAGCAGGACTCCTAAAGACCAAAGCTGCGTTGCCTCCTAAAGCCTTGCCTTGGAAATCATATATATCACTTCCACCTCACAATATTTGTCAAAGCAAATCACAAGACCAGTCTAGATTTCAGGAGTGGGGAAATAGACTCCATCTCTGCATGCGAGGAGTGACATAGTCATATTGCAAAGAAGTGTACATGCCAGGATAGGAGGAACTTATGGCCATTAAACAATCTACCCCAGTGACCATCCACAGAATTCAAGCCAGAAACTTCAGTGTCATCTTTGACTCCTTCCATTCCTTACATACCTCACATCCAGGCAATTACCAAGTCTTGTTGATTTTACTTCCTAAATATCCCTCAAATCCATCCGCTTATTGTTAATCCCTCATTCAGGCCACCGATACCTCTCTCCTAAGAAGTAACAGCCTCCTGGTTCATGTTTTGAATTATCAGAATCTAAATGGTTGGCTTTGCCAGCTTCCCAATGGCCCAAGCTAGAAATTAGTGATTTTAAATTCTTTTTCCTTTCACTCTCTGAATCCAATTAGTAATTAAACTCTTAAAAATCTCTAAACCAGTCCACTTAATTCTGTCTTCACAGGTAGTACCTAAATTCAGGCCACCATCTTTGCTTTCCTGGAATTACCACAACAGCTTCCTTAACTGGTCTTCCCATCTCGCTTTTTCCCTTTCTGATCCAGTCTCTACAATGCATCCTTCTAAAACTTGAATCTGGCATTATTAAAACTCTTCAGTGGCTCCCTGTTACTTTTAAGGTGAAGTCTGGCCTCCTTAAAAGTTCCTTAACAAGGCCTGTTCTACCTGATATTGTCTGTCTATCCAGGCATAATTCCCAGCATTTACCTCTACTGGGAGAGCAAAAAGGTAGAGGTAGAGAATTGGGGTCACTTGTTTTAGTGTATCTCACATACCCTGTTCTCCCTCACCAGGCCTAAAGTAAAGTGTTTAGATAAAATGCAAGGCTTAACTTCCATCCCATTTCCAGATTTGCGAAGTCAGATATCCTCTCTCTGTTGCATAATCTATCATCATACGATGTTACACAGATCCACGATCTTAACTGCACCACGGCTCTGTGTGTGTGTTTGTATGCCCCTACTCCCCTTACTCCCGTGCCAATTAGGATGTAGACAAAGGGAATACAGGGACTGTTTTTCATTTATATATTTTTTTTATTGTGCCTTACACGTGTTTGGTCATTTAAACCCCTCTGAGGTCTGAACGGCCCCCTAGTTCATTTGTGTTCATTCTTTGGTATCAGAGTCATCAGGATATCTGTAGTTTGCGTAGAGTGGTGTGAACCTGACCCATTCCCACAAATAGAAAATGACTCTGAAAATAGGGAGTCCTAAGCAGTTCACCCCTGTTGAACTGTTTTAACTTCCCTAAGGTTTATTCCTGTCTCTTTTGTAATGACTAGTGTTTTTTAAAAAAGAAGGCAATAAAAGCCTTGAAAATGAAAAGGGAGGTGTGGAGGATTGTTGGAAAAAGACTGTGAAGTTAGAAAAACTGCATTTCAGTTAGCTTGAGGGGGGAAAAGGCCAGGTGGAATAAGTGGTTGGCAGTAGTAAAAATAAGCCAAATCTCTGGAACCTGGCAGATGAATAAAAAGGGAATGAGGGAAGAATTTCTTGGCAGGTTAAGGTTGAACAGCTGGTAGTTGAGATTCAACTACTGGTGTGGATAAGAAGACTTAGCTCCTACTTTGTTAATTCACACCTCTGAGCCCTTAGACTAGGCAAGTTGAGTTTTTGTCACTGTCTATGCTTCTGAGTAGCTCTTATTTACAGTTAATAGCAATGCATAGTTATCAGCATTCCAATGAGGTGACAACTGGGAGGATATAAAGTGATTTAATCTGAAAATACTTTCTGGGTATGCTTAAGCATTAGAAAAGTAATATTTTAGTAAGGCCTAAGGGAGCTGTTTTCTAGAGCACCCCAGAACTAAGTAGTATTCAGTTCTTTATTCAGCTCATAGGTGTTATTTCTTCATTCAGAAAGGCACCGTACTGAAAGCAGTATAAAATGATATCGTTGCTTCTGAGACACAACACCCTGCCCCCCCACCTCCCTTTTCTTCACAGGTTAGCATCTGGATCATTCTTATTTCAATGGGTGGCACAATTATAATTGTCAGAGTTTTTATTGTTATTCTTAGTGATACATACGGTAATGGTGCATCATGGATTCTGTGATCAATGGAAGTTAATAACAGAGGTTAGGGGTTTTGAGGGCAGGCCAGGATTAGAATCTTGATGCTGCCACCTCTTGTTTGCTGTGTTGTCTTAGACAAATTACCTTAACTATCCTAAGCCTCTTGTTTCCTTCTGTGTAAAATGGAGATAATAATACCTATTTCATAGGGTAGTTAAGATTAAATGGAATAATGATGTAAAGTGCTTAGCAAAGTGTCTGGTGCTTTTTAAGAGGTTGCTGTAATGGCCGTGTTTCTCGTATTCGTTTTCATGGGGTTCATCTGTAAACCCATTTATTTGCTTTGTCTTAGATTTGGAATCTGTTCAAATTTACATGAGAAACCTATGAGTTTTCTGAGAGTAAAGACTAGTTAAGAGGGGCTGGCCCGGTGGTGTAGTGGTTAAGTTCACGTGCTCCGCTTCCGCAGCCCAGGGTTGGCAGGTTCAGACCCCGGGCGTGGACAGATGCTCCGCTTATCAAGCCATGCTGTGGCCGTGTCCCATATAAAGTAGAGAAAGATGGGCACGGATGTTAGCCCAGGGCTGATCTTCCTTTAAAAAAAAAAAAAAAAAGCCCCTGTGGACTTACCTACTTGAAA